AGCTACCAGAGTCTGTCGTCTCTCCTTTTCTTCTCCAAGTTCAGTGTACTCGTAGAGTCGTCATCAGCTAGTTGCAATATACTACCTGAGACCGTTACACCTCAATTCAAGCTCCATTTAGTGCCTTCAAACGTATATATCTGGTCTCGTTCAACAGCTATATCCGTTTGCTGGTGTCTGTTGAATTTAATGTAACGGTCCCAGGAGTATATTGCAACTAGCTGGTGACGACTCTACGAGTACACTGAACTTGGAGAAGAAAAGGAGAGACGACAGACTCTGGTAGCTCGCAAGCATACTTATCCTCGTAGGCGCGCTGGTCTGAGCGCGGTTGCTAGAAGGTTCGGTGTGCTGTGGGGCGAGTGGGAATAGCCTCATCAGGGGTCTTGGTATTGGCCGAGGGTCGCCGAGGCTCGTACCGGGCCCAGCCCGTTACACAGCACCCATCATTGGCCATATCAGTGTAATACTTGGTAATCGGACTGAATACCAACGCATCTGTGGCGAGGTATACAGGCGCCTAATCGCGAGAGGGACTCCTTCCATTTCCAAGTATCCGGCGGAATCATGTCGAAAGCATAGATGGCGATGATGCCGATGTCTGGGCCGGGCCCGTCCTCCTGAGGGGCGTCCGTCGTAGGGTAGACCTGTTGAAGGCGGGCTCTTCGCCCCGCGGATGGTGTTGGATTTTGGGCGTGGTATATCTGGCGCAAACTACGCTCTGGTAGATGCTATGGGGCTGCCCCTGCATACATGCGTATGTGAAGTAGCCACGGGCAAGTGAGGACCGTTCCTCAATTGGAACAAGATAAAAGACGACTACCGATTTGGACGGGAGAATAGCCCGGCTCACGTTGGCTTCGTTTATTACCTGAGCAGGATACACAGTCCCACGCGCACGGCCGAGGCTCGACACTGGGGAACACCGGGATGCTAGGTGCTGAGGATAGACGGTTTGTCTACTTGCGAGCCAGCCCTCGAGGCGTGACTGCTTTGTACCGGCCTTGACGCTGATCTAGGAGAGCGTCTTAGTATGAATCGCGAAGCAGCAAAATACGTGATGCTTAGGTTGAGACATTAGATCAGTCGTCCACGGGGTTCTCGGTGCGAGGAAGGGGACTGACATTTGGGGAAATGGGCTGGTTACCTTGGGGCAGTATGAGACCTTCGCGGTAGTGTTACAGGCAATCGGAACCCTGTTCAGTGCTATAGTCCAGGAGGAGCAAGTTAAACCGTCACGGGTAGGCGCCACTGACCACTACGTAACACCCTCGAAAGAGGGACCGTGGTTCGAACCAGGAGTTGCGCACATGCACCTCACACTGTCACGACCCGTGACATAACCACCTCGGAGTAGCCAATTCATTATTACGCACCAGGGTCGCTCGTACATGATCAACTGAAGCCGCAGTATGACGCGGACTAAAGTCTATTAAGTGCCCATATAAACGATTCAGCGGTTCGTGTTTATCGATTATTGGGCATCGCGGGCCTAACTTTTCATCCCTACCCATAGACTTGATACGATCTGCTTTGGTGTTCCTAAATCCGCTGTTCCGGGGAATTCAGATGAGGCTCGACCGCCCTGAACGACATGGATAAGATCAGTGACGCCTTTCCATACGAGACCTTTTCAGAGCACGACTCAATCCGGTTACTTGTCTTGGAGCCCGCAGAGACTCCCGAAGCAAAGCTACACGGACATGTGATTCTCATAAATATCCGAAAACGCGAGGCAGACATTTATACGGAGTACATCGCCGTCCCCTACGTCTAGGACGACCCGTCCCCTGGGGGTTCCATTGTCCTTCACGGCAAGCCTTTCGCCCTAACAGCTTCACTCGACGCTGCTCTCCGCGGGGTCCGCAATGCATCAATCGCCTGTCGCGTGTGGGCCGACGCGCTCTGCTTCAACCAGGCAAACATCGCAGAGCGCAACCGGCAAGTTCGCCTAATGGGGTCTATCTACTCGCTCGCCGACCACACGGTCATCTACCTCGGCCCGCTCACGCCCGACGCCGAGTGGGTGCTGCGCAACGCCGACGAAAATGCCGGCTATTGGCCCTCCTTGCCCGGGCAGGAAAGGGAGGAGGATGAGGGCTTAAGCCTGAGCCGACTGCGTGACATTCTCGACCGGCCGTGGGGTTTACCCGCACCCGGATCCTACAGGAGCTGGTGCTGGCCCGCGACCCGCTGGTGCAGTGTGGCCGTCTGCCCACGCGCTGGGCTAGACTCTACTTCCTTTTCTCTATAGCCGCTGCTGAACCGGCACGACAGCCGGCGACTTGAATTCTCCGAGGCATGGACGCCACCCGCTTGCAGTTCCAGCAGGATGACCCCACCGTGCTGGGGCTGCTCTTGGAGCACCGGGAAAAGAAAGCCTCCGACCCCAGGATATGGTCTACGCACTCCTGGGCGTGCTGGGCAAGATGGCCGCGGAATTCCTGCCCGAGAACTTTGTTGACTACTCTCGGTCGAGCAGGTCTACATCCGGACGGCACATCAAATTCTCGATACGGGCCTTCTCTCTTGTTAGCTCACTTACCACAGAGGATGTAGTTATACAGTTTTCCAGAAGCTATTCTCGGCGGCTGACGACGGCAGCTCGATGGAGAACAGACCGCGGTCCCTTCCGTCTTGGGTTCCCGATCTGACTGGACTTTGGCAAAGGACGTCTCGCTACTGCCCCCAAACATTGCCGGAGGGGGGATGGCACACAAACATTTCGAAATTGGTCTCGAAGATGTCGATGTTCTGGAAGATGACCCGCGCCCATGGTACGCAGTGGCTGACGGCCCTCCGATTCTGGACTGTCTCGGCCATAGGTCCTTGTTCACCGTTCAAGCCGTCAGCCCAGTGTTTCCTCCGGCTTCGACCATCGATTCCTACTTACTGGAGAGGTTTGGAGCGGTCATTCTGTACCCGAGTGGTCAGGGGAGGCTTCGGAGGACTTACTGGATTCCACAGAACGTCCTAGCGACGCCTTGATTGGTCTCTTCGCCCGCTGTCCTGAAACTAGCATGACTAAAACTAACGCTATATCTATGCGAAGATAGAGAGTGGATGTCTGGGAGCATTTAGGCTCGCAACTGCGGATGGCGTGGGCCACGGTGCGGCTCAGTTGGGATCGCCCAGACCGTGTCGACGAAGAATATTGCGAAATGGTCAGCGTTTACGTAGTGGATAGCATGTCACGTTCCCTCTTCAAGGCCGACGTCTTGCGCTGCTACGACGAACAAGGCGTTCAGGGGTTCTGCTAGAACGTGATTTCGTGTTTGGCGTGGTCCCGTGCGACATGCGGCCTGGTGCCCACTGCATTGCTCTCCTGCCGTCTCTCTTTTTGTATGTCGTGAAAGAACAGCAGCGCCAGCCGGAGCTGGCGTGGGAGCGGACTGTTCTGCAGAGAGCCCAGTCTCTCAAGTCTTGGAAGATGGGAAGAGACAACGACGACCGGAGGGAGGCGAGGCCGACATCCGTGGAGCAATGGCTGAGGTTTCTCAAGGCTCAAGGGCGGGGAAAGCACAACGACGACGGGAGGCAGGACTGTTTCTTGCGTAAGGCGAAGCCGACATCGGTGGGAAGTTGGGTGAGGCTCATAGGAGAATGTTATACCGTCAACAAGTCTCCTGAGACGGGAGAAAGGTCGGACCGCTTGTTATTTTTATCCAGCCACGTGGTTGTGATTCTTTATGGTTGCTGGGGGCCTTAAACGAACTTCAATGGTCACACGGTAAGCTGGGAAGCAAAGGTGGACATACCTTACACTAGTACCTACATAATCAAGCTACCTACCGTCCATCGATAAGGCATTCAGCGCGGCGTCCGAAACGAGTCATGTTCTGTTCCTGGAAAATAACGTAAGACGGATATAGTGCCGCTCCGATGAAACCTGAGGGCAAAGACTGAAGAAATGTTTGTAGTCCGAAAAGTACAGACATCATAGTGGTACGGCCAACTTCCTCAGTCACCTCGGTTGGGTTTCATGGACCGTTCTCTACGCTCAAGAGGACTTCTCCTCTTAGATCTAACTGAGTCACCGGCATCGAACAACGTTAATTCAGCGGAAGGAATGTATTCCTACTCTCTAGGCCAAAGGCAGGGTTCCATGCTTGACAGTCACACTCCGTCCACAACTGTCTCCATCAAAGACGAGTCCTGGCCAACGAATAACCAGTCCCAAGTCAACTTGAAGTGAACATAACCAGCTCATCTCACTCCCTTTTAAACCACTTCCGGTAACAAGCCTCGCAGAGAGTTTAGGCCTGGGGCCCGTGAGTAGTATACCCCTCTACCGTCTCGATCAACTCTTTGTCGAGGACGACAGGGTCAAGGACAACTGGGCCGCCGTCGTCGGCCGTGCCGAGGCACTCGACAATGCAGGCCGCGCAGACTATGGAGCCGGCGGGCCCGGTGCCAGCGCACGCCGTGGCAATACACAAAGCGACGCAGAGTTCCTGGGGCGGAGGTTAGTCAAAACCATCGCAGGCGCAGGCTTTCACATGGGCGGATTATCGTACAGCCAAGACACCCTGTAGTAGTGTTTGTTAGCAACTGAACCGTTCATGATATCCAGACAAGGGGGGGGTGGGGAAGAGACAGAGAGACGCACGCGCTCCTGAGGCTGAACGGCAGTGCTGGACTGGACAGAGCGGGCGGCAGGGGACGCCCCGGCCAGGCCAGCGACGGCGGAAGTGATGAGGGTGATGAAACGCATCGTGAATGGTAGGTTCAAAGTTTGGTAGTAGGCTGAGTGCTTGATGGTCGATGAGGAGATGCGGGATGTGAATGATGCAAGTGTCTGGGGAACTCAACCCACTTTATAGAACTTCATCGCCAAGAAGAACTTGTCCTTGAGACCGCTAGGGAGCCCAGGCAAACTCGTCGGGATGAGCTACCCCTCAACAGCATCGCGATCATGGACTGGACTCAGCTGCGCTGTTCTGCACCTTCATCCTTTCATGAAGGTCTGACACGAAGCCAAGCCCGATATCTCACATCATCCCGCCCTCTCGTGCAAGGGATATAGCACCTCTTGATGGTACTCCATCTGTTTGGTACCGATGGACCACGAGCCTCCCTCGGCAAGTACAGCCGAATCGGGAAAAGGTCACGGCTCGAGGGCACGGGTGGATTCATCCCGACCTATGCACTGCTAAGTGAAGAAAAGTCCAGGGTCCTAACTCTCTTTGTAACAGTGCTAGTGAGCACTAGACCGGAGAAGACCAACGTTGCTGTGCTCGTGTTCATGCTGTCAGCAGGCCCAGACGGAAATGGAAATAGTTTTAAGCTGAGCCTGTAGTCCATAAGGTAGCAATAGGAATTGAAGGTACCTTGTACTTCTGGATCCGACGTCGTCGGAACTAGACTAACGGAAAATGGGCATTGCTGCTGTTGAATCAACGTCGCTGTCGTCCAAGTTTCTTGATGTAGGCAGCTCGCTTGCAGACTTCAGCCCCTGTTTACCCCTCTTTGCCAATGTGCTCCGACATATCTTACACAACGCCAAGCACCCGTAATCTGACTGCATTTGTTGATTCAGCTCCTCCTTTGTAAGCTTGGGAGGCGGGAGGGAGTTTTTGACCGCCCTGCCAGTGGGAAGGCATCTCACCCAAGGGGTTGGTTGTCTCCAGCTGGTTGGGCCGAGTATAACTGGAATGATTGGAAGTCAGACACAGCGCATCGCCATATGATTGAACGTCGATCTTTAGTCGTCTCTTTACCAACATTGGCAGCAGAGGCTCAACATGCGAGCGGCTCTAGTTGCAATCGTTTGCCACCTCCCCCTGGTCTTTGCACTGGTTGAGAGACGGACAGAGCTCAGACCAGCAATCTCACCTGCGGCTTCACACTGGAAGAGAAGTGTAAAACTTGCTAGCGACCAGGTCATTCAAATCGACCTGGCGCTTTCTGTCAACCAAGACGTTTCCAACAAAGCGGCCCAGGTCCTCGAGGGCATCTCGGACCCGGACTCGCCAAGTTTCGGACAGCACTGGACTCTAGACAAAATCGCCCAATTCTTTGCACCGCCCAGGGACAGCATTCGCCAGGTGGGGAGATGGCTCAACAGCTCCGGGGTGCCGCGATCGGCCATGCGTCTCTCCAGGGACGGCACTTTCTTGTCGTTCAACGTCAGCGTCGGCAAAGCAGAGCAGCTGCTAGGAGCAGAGTTCCACCTATACCACTCGCTCAACAGCGGCACGACCCAGACGGCATCTGAGCGGTACTCGCTGCCATCACGAGTGGCCAAGTACATCGACTACGTCCTGCCCGCTCCGGAGCCGGACCCAGTCTCGTCGGCTCCCAAGTCTGTTGGAGTACCTCGCCTGCCGATCGAGGCCGGAATAAGCGCTCGTCAGACGCGCAACATCAACTGCCTGCAATACATGGCGCCGCAATGCCTCCGCCAGCTGTACAACATGGACAACGGCGCCGGCCAGACAGCTCACCCCAAGAACTCGATTGGCGTATATACGGCCTCCTACGGCGCGTGGGTGCCCGAAGACCTCGATATGTTTTTCAACGACTTTGCCCCGGACTGGTCGGCCAGCGACCCGTGTTCATGTCGGTCTCGGGCGGCACGCGACAGACCGAGTACAAGTGGCCCATCTTCAACCTCGAGGCCAACCACGACTATCAGTACAACATGGCCATGGCAAAACCGATCCCCGTCACCAACATCCAGGTGGGCGACCTCGTCGTGCAGGGCAACCTTAACATAATGCTGGCCGCCTTCAACAAGCACTACTGCCGCACCGGCCTAGACCCGCAGTTCGACCCCGTTTACCCGAACCCGCTGCCGGGAGGCTACAACGCGACCGACTGCGGCACGCACACGCCGCCGCGCGTCATCGCCATCATGTACGCGTGGAACGAGGCCTGGTACTCGGACGCATACGCCCGCCGCCAGTGCCTCGAGTTCTTGAAGCTCGGCCTGCAGGGCGTGACGGTGTTGACGGGCTCCGCCGACCGGGGGCCGGCCGACCAGTTGACGTACTGCATCGACCGTGACAAACCCCAAGAACAACACTGCCAGCGAGGGCCACTTCGCCTCGGTGTTTCCCGCCGCGTGCCCGTGGGTGACCTCGGTCGGTGGCACGCAGTTCCTGCCGGTCGCCGCCGCCAACGGCAGCAGCAGCAGCAGCACTCTGTCGCCCTTCCCGGGCGAGACGGCGCTCGACAACAACAGCACTGTCTCCTTCGGCGGCGGCTTCAGCCGCCTCTTCCCGGCGCCCTGGTACCAAGGCAACCTGACGCGGGAGTACCTCGCTGCTGCGCCGGGCGCGGCCGAGCTGGGGAGGCAGGGCTACTTCAACGTCAACGGGAGGGGCTACCCCGACATATCAGCCATGGGGAAGAGCTTCCTTGTCAGTCTACACGGCGGGTACCGCGCCGTGTCGGGCACGTCGGCGTCGACGCCCGTCGTCGCCGCCATGATCGCCAAGATCAACGATGCGAGGCTGCACGCCGGCAAGAGCACTGTCGGATTCCTCAACCCTGTGCTGTATGCCGCGCGCAATAGGGGGATACTGAGGGATGTGCACCACGGCAAGAACCACGGGTGCGGAGTCAGCGAGGCATTCCCGGCCAAGCAGGCGTGGGATGCCGTGACTGGGTTGGGAACGCCGGACTTTGAGAAGTTGAAGGAGTTGTATCTTCGCTTGCCGTAGACTATTCCACACTTAGAGCGCTGAGGCGCCCGGGAGGTTGGGAACTGCTTGGGTTCTGGTGAGATTTTTGATTAGCTTGCCGAGATCGTGCGCCCCGAGATGAAGGAGAATTGGTAAACGAAGAACTAGTGACACTGACATTGAGTAATTGGGTAAATTGATCGAAATTGGATTTATTGGTTGGAGAGTGGGTTGCGGATCGGAGGATGGAGGAGGAAGTTCACAATGGAAGTGATAGTGCCACATCCCCAGGTAGGCGAATTGAGCACTGTGCCACACTGCCACAAGCAGCCATCGGGGCGGCTCGAGTATAAAGATCAATCAAGGTGTCAAGCTCCCTCCCCGCCCTCCTTGCTTTCGCCGTATCCCGACCTCCCTCCAATTCACCGTCATCGCACCAATCTAATACCGTATTCCCCTAGGACTGATTAGGTACCTTAGGCATCTGCTGTTCCCATAACATCATGAGTACCCCCACGACCAGTGCCAGTGGCGCGCCTGTCAACTGTGCCACCAATCCAGGAAAGGACCTGCCCTAGCACGAGGAGCAGAGAGCTGCTAGCTACGATGGCCGCAAGCGGAGGAAATGTAAAAGCAATACCCTTTCGCCGATCTCAAGCTCGAACAGAAGTGGTGGGTGGGTGCCGAGCGTGGGTTTTCCCTTCTTGTTGGTACGGGACCTGTCTCTTTCACTTTTCGTCCTTCTTTGCTGCGGTCGCATTATGCACGCTTGTACGCTGAACAAGGCTTAGAGAGCTCTTCCTAAAAAAACAAGCGTCTGGGTGAACGCCGTCTTTGCAAAGCTCATCCGGGACATGTCTGCCCCTGAATCTGTGGCTGACGGGCACCGGTAGTTGAGGGAGTTGCTCCACCAGAGCACCCGAGGTGGTGGAGCGGTTCGAGGATGCGTTCTTTGTTAAGCATGAAGCGCAGTTTGCAGAGGTGCATCGCCAGCTGCAAGATGTTGGCTTGCTTCCAGGGTGTGCGGGGGGGATGTGTTAAGAGGCGGGAGTTGTGTATCCCGTAACGCGAGGTGCCGTTATGGTTTCTCAAGCCAATTCTGTCCGGCTCAACGGGCTCGGGCTGGGATAGGTGAAAGGGGCTGCAGTCAGCAATCCCGCATCGTCTCAACATCCTGAGTCGGCTTGTAACTGTATTGCTGGTATTGAATATGGTTGCATCAATTTGACTGTCTTACCAGTGCTGTCATGGCGCGAGAATGTACGAGGCTGGCGCTAAAGTAACAAAGATCGCTTCGGCAATGCGGCGTATGGCGACCATGCGCCTGTGATAATGAGAGGCTTGCACACAGGGTCCGAGAACTCGAACAATTAAAAGATCAAGTCCAGTATCGCAACACCACTATCGACGTGCAGAATGATGTGTTGTGGAGCATTCTGAACTTTGTCCAAATCACAGCCTCTGACAGTCTGACTGTATGGCGAAACTGGACAACCGACAGCAAGTAGAAGCACCAACCTCAACTACAGTACAGAACTGCGCAAACCTTTCCGATACGGTTCTTTGGTTATAACCAGGTCACCTCCCAGTTCCCTGCATTCCCAGCCGCGCAGGAAATACGGCTCAGCCAGGGGGACACGCCAGAACGTGCCTCGACGAGTGGCAGGCTCCTCCAGGCAGACCTCAACGTCTACCGGATTTACTGTACCGCCACCGGCATTGAGTGAAGTATACTGGACTTTTGGAGTAAGACAGATCAGAAGTAGTACCACGCGAACAAGGACGAGAGTTGCATCTGAGACGATGGGGAGTAGTGCTGGCGTCCTGGACTCTTTTCTTTAACTTGAGTGGTTGTGTTGGAAGACCAACAGCCACGATCCCACGGTGATCACACAGATGATGGGAGCTTACAACAGTCAGATTTGAGATGCTCGGAGCATCCCAGATGTTCTTGATTGAAGGTTGTTCTTTTCTCACGTCTCCAGCGAAGGGGGAATCGCCCTGACCTCGTTGCCCAACGCCCTGGTTACCCCTCACGTTGCCTGACGCTCAGTTGGGCAGCCATGCATCCAACAGCAGGGCACTTGCAGCTGAGCGTCGGAGTTTCCAGTGCCACGACTTTCCAACAGGTTGATATACATACTGTATATATAACGATGTGTTATCAGCGAGTGCACCACTGGTAAGGTCTGCATAAGCACTTAGTCGAAGTATTAACAGCTTATTCCCCCACTTATTCCCGTTGTTAGTGCTGCACCCAAATATCTGTGGAGCCCATACCAGTGGTGCACTCGCTGATAACATACGTAAATATATATAACTCGACTAGCTGCAGGCAGCGTGGGAGACGTGCCTGCAGTGGGCAGAAATCCGGGGAATGTCCTTTGGCCCGGAAAAGAGCGAGCTGATTCACTTCAACAGAGGGCGCAAACAGTGGATTGACCAGCTGGAACTTGCACAGCCGGGAGGAGGCAGCAGCCCGGTGAAGCCCATGGCAGCGGCCAGATTCCTAGCGGTCTGGCTGGACTGGAAACTCAACTGGAAGGCGCATCTAGGAGCGGTAGAGCGGAAGCTGAAAACACAGAGCTACGCTTTGTCAAGGATTACAGCAAAAACGTGGGGTCTAGGGCTAGCCAAAGCACGAGAGGTAATACTCAAAGTGCATCCGGTCAGCGCTAGCGTACGGCGCATCATCCTTTCACACCCCCACCGAGAAGGGAGGTGAGCCAGCAACGAGAGGGATCACCAAGGCGCTTGGAAAAGCTCAAAACAAGAGTCTACGGATAGTGGCAGGAGCTTTCAAGTCCACATCCACTCGGAACCTTGAAACGGAGACATGGGTGCCGCCACTGGATTTTTACTTCAACAAACGACTGGCTGACTTTGTGGCCCGGCTTCAAATGCTCACTCTAGCCGACGGCCGAGGCGGAAAGAAGACTGCAGGGAGCATAATTCATGCGGCCTACGGCAAGATATATCAGATACTCAACTCGAGGACGGATAACAGGGGCCGACCGCGAGCCTTTGGGCCGCAGGAGCCCACAGCGGTAGAAGAAGCCGCCAATACAATTGCAGTTTGGACGGGAGGGACTGCCGACACGAATAGAGTAATGGAGGAGGCCTGGAGAGAGAGGTTCAAGGAACGAGACGGCCGGACAGCAACGAGGCCCGCAGATGACCTTGACCACCAGCATGAGACTCTGTTTCAAGACAAAACGCTAAGGAGACACGACGGCCTCAGCAGAGCGAAGAGTTCACTGTTGATCCAGATTCGAACCGGGGCCATAGGCCTTCGGGCTTTCCAGGGTCCGGAGCAGTTACACGAAAATACAGGTTGAAGTTGAATTGCAGTTGAAATCTCCGTACATTTCAATTACACAGACGACCGCCGAAAATCCATGCAATTTCAACATGACCTCTGCAACGTGGATCCATTATTGCAATAGTGGGCCCTTTTTAGCAGATGATAGTGATTAAGCGTATTTTGTACGGTAAACACTAACTTGCTAATATCCTCCTGACAACGAAGTGGTGAGATGGTCGGCAGAATCCCACCGCCCTACTGGCTGGTGAGGTTGGTGTTCTGGCCTACCCGCCACCATAATGGCTACAGAAGCACCTGCAACCGTCGCCCCCGTTCCAGGGCGCACTGAAGAAGATCAAGCCTTTCTCTTCGGGCGATTTCCTGGCTACCCGTTGACGGAGCAAAAAGAGGCTTGAGAACCGCCTACCAAAATCCCTCGCCTTTCCGGCAATAGGTTCGCCGCCTTCAGAAGCCAGGAGCGAAGTCGAGCAAGCTCAGCGTCCGTCTCTTCTTCACCCTTCCCATCTCCAGCGCCAGTCGACCTTGACGAGTTTGAGCGTTGGCAACTGGAAGAGAGCGACTCTGATCGGTACGAGGAGGATCCCCGTGCCTACTGGCATAAAAGAAGAAGCACCTATCCACGGCTTGCGCGTATGGCGTTGGATCTACACACAGTACTTCCCATGAGCGCAGAGGTTGAGCGTTTGTTCAGCGTTACCGGCCACATGGTTACTCCTCTCCGCAACCGGCTCCAGGCAAACACTATAGCTCTGTGTCAGATCCTTCGCAGCTGGTACGACGCCGGCGTGATCAATGATCTTGATCCAATACTGTCATGGAAGACACATGAACCCAGAGAAGATGACTGATGACGGCCAGGGTAAGGGATGGATATGGGGTGGCCGGTTTCCTTTTTGTTGCAGGGGAAGCAAGCGGGGCAGAAAAATGGTCATTGGCTGGATGCGAAAGAAATATGTGGGGCGCAGCGAGAAATGTGGGTCTTATTACCCACGTGACTGCAACTGCAATATATTGCATCCACTCCCATGTGAGCCTTCGATAGATCAATTCAACGGGGGCTCCCACTAGGCGCACATCCATGTGCGTATTATGTAATCCCAAATCTGCTTACATAAACCAAAAATGCATCTAACGCAGCGTTGCCCCGCGCCAAAGTAAACACCAAAGTCAAGCAATTCTCAAGTCAGAACTCGGTTCAGTCGGCAGCTCAGG